ACGGCTATAGCTGCATTGCATTTGGCATATAATGGCCAATTTGCCATCATCCTGGTTTCACTGAACTTGGACGTCAGCTTCGTATGTTCCAAATGAAGATGGTCACATTTGCACGGCTGGCTAGAAAACGTAGACGTAATCCGGGTTTTTATGGCATTCCCGCATATACACCCTACTTAATGGATTGTACGGCACCCATATTTATTGGGCGTTACAGTATTTCTCAAAATTGTGGATGTAGGAGCACAATGAAGTCGGAATTCACAGACTGTGACCCCAAATGATGCAGCAAAAAGTAAACGATAATTAGATCGAATTTAAGCCAATCAGAATTGAGTCGGATGAGATGTCCGACTTTATTCGATCACAACACAACGAACTAGGGTATGGACGAAATATATTGAATGCTTGGCGAACAAAACGCACATGGCGTGAATCAGTTGTGCGTTGGACGAAATATACCAGAAATAACCTGAACTTAAATGAAAAATGGTGTACCGTAATAACCAGCCAGCCGCCATGGCAGGTTATGCTTCACAGCGGATCGCGTACGAAGGTGCCGACAAACTTGGGGCTTCGACCGCCATGTCGCCCCAGCTCCACGGGGGTGACGGCGTCGCCTTTCCCCGTGAGACCACCCCGTGTCTTTGATCCTCCATGTGCCGTTTGATATCCGTTTCAAACACGCGAAAGCCACACAAGAACGCGTCTTGCATCGTAGTGAACGCATGCTCGATGTCCTGCTTGTCATGTCTCGAACCTCCTCGCATCGCATGCAAGATACGACCGAGTCTGGTTGCCACGGTGGCCGCTTCGTTCAACTGCACTTTGCAGTACGCTTTGAACGATACGCTGTTGTCCCGTGTTGGGGCAACCTCGATCCATCCGGAATGGTTGGCCACGACACTCGACTGAGCGAACGGGCGCTTGGCATCCTCGAGCACTGTCCTCCACACGATGGACGTGCTGGAGTTGAGGTAATATCTCCGTCACAACGAAATTAGATTCACACACAACAGATATGGCGCTAGCACATGTACATCGTCGTCGTCGCAATAAAACTGGTCGCTTTCACACAAAACCAGTCGTCTTCACACAAAACTAGTCGTTATCACAATAATCTCTTCGTTATCACAACAATTCCGTCGTTAACACACAACATGGGGCGATGTCACAAACGCGACACGTATAAAGTCTTGTGAGTATGGATTTATCCTGTCCCAATAGAGTCACAGACCAAGTCATGTTGGTGAGGTTGTTGACGATGATAATAGCTGGTCTAAATATAGGGTAGCCTTGCTGCCATTCTGCAGCACGCAGCGCATGAGTACAACGACTCAGCCACAAGGTATTGTAATGGAAGCCTAGTGGCCACGTGGTGCACAGTGTACTGCATGACACCAGTCACCCTCAGCACAGTGTACTGCATGACACCAGTCACCCTCAGCGAAACCTTGTCAGTTTGTGGCGTAGGCTGAATTCCACCACCTAGTCCACAAGCCGACATTGCTCCAAATCAATATGACCGTTCTGGTCTTATTGCTGCTGTTTGTGCAAGAAATCTGGTGTAACGTTATATCCTACGTGTGGATAGAATGTGCCATGTTTTACAACGTCAACTGAAGGCTGTGAGGGCAGGAGCCCCCCTGCAAGTGGTGGCCGGTGCTTGTGGGTTGTAACTTATGATTGGCTATAAATAAAATGTATGTAACCAATCAGAGGGCATTGTACTTGGACACTCTTGACAAGCCTGAAGCACGGTGGAGGTCACAGTGCCTCTCCATGCCTGGCTACTGTATTAGTCCTTCCCAAGCATTGGACAGTATTGATGTACCTGTTAATGTGCTAGTTATTGATGCCAGTGTCACATACTGCAGTACTGAGGCGAAGGCAAGTGTCGTTATTGAGACTTGACCATGCATGCGCTGACTGTGAGTTAACAATTATAATGCCACGCATCGCATTGATGTTCGACACAATGTACATGTGCACAATGTGAGTTTGAGTGAATACAGTACAGTACTAATACGTAGTACTGGTAATTCTGGGGCTTAACGACAGGTAGGTACAAGTTTGGAAATTGAGCACTGTAGAACGGAGATGCTAGGTATCACTGATGCTGTCACTCAGCTTTGATCGCTGCAATTGCAGCGATGTGCGCCCCTTTGATGCATGAACAAACCCTGGCGTTATACAGTCCTTCTGTAGACTCTCCAATATAAATGCCCCCCCAGCCCGATAGACAATGCGCATTCTGTAGTGCAATGTACACACTCAATCGCATACTTCTAGAGAATTCGTTTTAACCATGTGTGTAGCGTGGGGGGATGCTGTGGAGTGGAATTATTGTGGAGGGTACCGAAGTGTAAACTATGCATGGGTTGCACATTGCAGCAATTATAACGATCAACACTACGAGGAAGTCATAATGACATGAGGGGCCACTGTAGACT